TAATGATAAGCACAATAATATAAATAGTAATGTTTACAGTAGCCAAAATTAAACTAACTAAACTTTGCTAATCCACTTCACTTAAGTTTAAATGGAAGAATAATTTTTCTTCACTTAAGTTTACATGGAAGAATGATTACAAAGTTCCAGTAAAAAAATATTTTTCCCTAGCTTATATTTTAAAACTTTTTATAAGATTTAGCAAATATTTGTATCTCATATTTTCTTTATTTATGTTCAATAAGCAATGCTTGAAAAGAAAATATTGAGTTGGCTATTATGCATTAATTAAAGAACATGAACTAGAATGAAATCCCACCATACACACTCCCCACCTGAAATCTGAAAATGTTTCAGGATTTACAGGAAACTCTGCTTAATTTGATAAAATGATTAAAATCCTCTGCCTATGGTCAAGGCAGGAAGGCTAAAAGGACTGGTTAGTCATAAGGTGACAGGGAAATCATATAACATTTAATCCCTCTGAAATTAAATCAATGTGTTTAATTCAGTACAAATCTGACATGCAGCTACTACTTTAACCTCCAGAACTAAAGAGATATTTTCAAAAACACACACACACACACAAAAAAAAAACTGAAATCAAGCTGAAGAGAACACTTAACATCACCCAAAAAATAAGAATAAAGATGGCTTTGTTTCTATATGTCTCCCCTGCTAGCAGGCAAGACAGACACAGCCACTTAAACAGACTGAGTGAGATGTGCATTGTCACCCAGAGGGCAAATGCTTTGCAAGATCCCAGCTGAGCTAAATGAATGCCCTGTAAACATGTTTGCTTAAGCATAAGCCCCATTTTTCTTTGAAAATGTAATGGTCTGCAATTGTGTTTCTCAAGAATTGCAACTGCCCTTTAAGTATTTTTCAAAAGGAAAATAAAAATGAACAAAAAAGTGGTTCACCTACTACAACTACAACTCCCATCCCACCCAGATTTGAAATTTCTTGAAGCTCAGTGGATTTAAATTGGCTCCTTAGTAAGGCAGTCTTCAAGATTATTCAGTCTTCAGACCTGGAGTAGATTTTTTTTTCTTATTGATTTTTTACAGAGAGGAAGAGAGAGGGATAGAGAGTTAGAAACATCGATGAGAGAGAATCGTCGATCAGCTGCCTCTTGCACACCCCCTACTGGGGATGTGCCTGCAACCAACGTACATGCCCTTAACCGGAATCGAACCCAGGACTTTTCAGTCTGCAGGCTGATGCTCTATCCCAGCGTTTTTCAACCGCTGTTCCGCGGCACACTAGTGTGCCGCGAGATGTTGCCTGGTGTGCCGTAGGTGCAGACAAGACAAGAATTTTATAATTTTTCACTATTTTGTTTACTTAATATTTCATAATAAAGTAATTATAAAATACTTTCTTTGTGTTTATTTGATTCCTATTCAAGAGAATTACTTTATATATAGTCAATATAGGCACAGAGTTAAATTTTTTAACATTTTCTAATGGTGGTGTGCCTCGTGATTTTTTTCATGAAACAAGTGTGCCTTTGCCCAAAAAAGGCTGAAAAACACTGCTCTATCCACTGAGCCAAACCGGTTTGGGTTGGAGTAGATTTTTATTATCTTCCAATAACTCTTTGAATCTCAGTGTTTGCCTAGGTAAAAACAAAAAACACGACAAATCTCTAAGAGCTGAAGTAAGATTCGAACTAGATGAGATAATGGAGGATGACACCAAGCCGGGCACACAGAATAGACTTACTAAATGCAAATTCCCTTCTTTCTTAAATACCTTCACCTGGAATGAAAGGTATGCGCTTTATCCATAAATGGAGCTGTCTTAGAAAGAACTACCAACATCACACAAAGGAACACCACTTAAACTCATTTTAATCAGATCACTATAACTACCGCTAAGATAAAGAGAGCCTTTTTACCTCCCAACAACCTACCAAAGTGAAATCTTGGACACTATGGAAATGATGGAGCACTGTAAATATTCCTTCAACCAAGTACATTTGCAAAGAGAAAAACACCTTCCTTTTTTCTTCTTGCCTGGATACAGTTTAAGATGAAGTGGTTAAAAAAAATGTTTTTCTTTTGTCAATCAATGTACTTTGAAGTATTATTTGGGTCAATCAAATCAATGGGTGTTTTCTTTTTATAGGTCACTTAAAAACACAATTAATTAGAATTTTAAAATTATTTGAAGGAGTAGAATTTTAAACTGGCAAGAAAGATTAGAGGCATTTCATAGCAAAAATTATATCCACTATATAGTAACTGTCAATGACATTACCATATGTCACTCCAATGTGAATGATTAGAATGTCTCTGACTGAAGCAAAAATGTTATTATAGGTTTGCACATCTGCTAACCTAACTGGTTTATCAGAATGTGCACTTCTCACCCACTTGTTCTTAGCTTCTCAGATACAGTATTTATTACAGGAACTGGTAATCTTTAAAGCTTGTGAAATTATCTTTCACATCCTCTCCAAAGCAAAAAAACTCACCCTGTCCATTATAACCTTAGAAACAAATGTCATTATTAGAAAGCAAACTTGGAAATCATCTTAGCCAAACCCTTTATTTTTACATATTAAGAAAAAGATTTCATTAACAGAAGAAAAAAAAATAGAAGAAAAAAAACACACATTAAGAGATTTGCCTAAAGAAGTCACATAGAAACCTAGGATAGGAAACTCACTTTGCCTCCCTAAATAACCATGTCAAGCCCTAACCTTCAACTTTGTTTATGGGGTTGATACAGATGCTTATGTGGGCAGCTCCAGAAGCATGCTGGGAAAAGCAGACCTTGAGATGGTCCCTGCTCAGTGCCTCACATCCACCCTCCAACTCCCCAGTTTCACAAGGTCCAGCAGTCTAGGTGTGTGAGATGAAGTGAGCACATCAGCAACACAAATTAATGAGAATGAACCAACTGTATAAACTGTAGATTAAAGGTAGGAAGTTTTTCTTATTTCTTATCATCACGGTTTCATCTTAATTCTTCAAACACACCCAGACAGGCATTGTTGAAGAAGAGCATCAACCAATCTGCTCAAGTAACCAAAGCCACAGAAGCATGCCTAAGGGAAGACAAAGTGGGACAGACTTCCAAATCCAAAGCCTAATCCATTTAGAAGGCTTGTTCTCGTCATCACAGTTTTTCTACCAACACCAGAGGTTCTCATTTCCAACCTCTGGGAGATGTATGAAATGACTGAGAAGTACTCATACTTTGTTTGATAAACAGAGAACATTTTTTCATAAGATAACCTCTTTAGGACTACCATTAGAAAGTGTAAAAAAAAGTCAATATCTGGAGGTTACGTTTCTTTAGCAAAGTGTGGTGTAAAGAAAACCGTCCTGACTATGGATGTTCAGCTATGTCCCAGGTAGAGAAATGTTGGTTTTCATAGAATATTATCTAACAGACCACCATACCCAACCCCAGCTCACATAAATAAATGTGCTATCAGCTGATATTAGGGTAAATACAAAGAGAAAACATAATTTGGAATTAAATTAATTGTATATCTTCAGAGTAATTTAATGTCTCTTATTTTACTTTAGACATAACAACACTTTTAAAAACCTGTTAGTTGGAGCTTGTGGGGCCTTGAAACACATAACTTTAAGTAAAATCTCACCAATAGAGAAAAAAAAATGCATACTGGAGGGGGGGGGGATCTGTTTTCTCAAAACCTTTCTCCTCCCCACAATTTATATTCTGGAATGAATGACCTGAAATTTAAATGTCTGGTATCCATATCTACAAAAATTAGACATCAGCTTTTCAAATGCCTCTCTACTTGCCCTTAAAACCAAAAGACATATTTTTAAATTTTCAGGTTTATAAGTGTTATAGTAAGTTTCATTACTTAAGTCTGTTCATAGTTTATAGTGAAGCCAAAGTGAAAAAAAATCAAACTTCTGATCCACCTGGTTTGAGCTCATCTTAATTTTACACATTGTTTTGAACATCAAGGGGGTAGGTAGGCATTTTTATCCATTATTCCATCTCCAGCACCTCCCACAGCCACCCTTGATGGTTTTCTGTAGATGCCGTTTAATATAACTCGCATAGCAATTTTAGCTACAAAATGCTTTTATGCAACAGCAAAGACAATCAGCCTCTTTTCCTCTAAGGTGGAGATCTAGAAGCGAAGTGAGAACATTTGGGAGCATAAAATTAGTCTGCTTAACTTTAATAACCAAATGGTGATTGGAAAAAAGAAAAAAAAAAGACAAATTTCGCATTTTCAGGAATGGGGTGCAAGAGTCACTAAGTCTAGAGGGCCTTCTTCCTCCCTGCGTAGTACGCAGCAAAACTAACCAAATCATGGTCCAGAATAAAAAGGTAACATTCGTTTTCAAAGCACTCATTTAAAAGTACAGTGAAGAGGTGCTTTTTTAAACACCCACACGTTTAAACATAGCAGGAGTGTGGTACCGATGTGAATCCCGAGGGAATGAAATACACATTTACCTTCATAATTAGACCCCGTGGGTCAAATGTGAGCGAGGCAAACGGGCATAAACCACCAAGACAGACTGAAAATAGACAACACAAAGTGCCTGTCTGTCCCGGGAGCCCGGCTTGCTCTCTGCACGGCCAGCGGCCAAACATCTGCGGGCACAGAGAAGCCTCGCACCAGCGGGGTAAGGGAGAGACGCCTAACTTTCCCACATAAGTTAGTTCCGTCTTGCCGATCTAAACCCAACAGGTGTCAACACCTTTGCCACCACGCTAAATCCTCCCGAAAGCAATGGGTGGTTAGTAACTGAAGCTGACAAGTCCCGACCGCTGGACCGGGTCAAACCGAGTCCCTGTTCCCACGGATGACACGGAGGTGGGGAGGAGGAGGGATGGAGACGGGGAGGGAGGCGCGTGGATGGAGATTCCGCGCCGCTAACGCAGCGGGGGAAGCTCGGGCATGGACCCGGGGCTCGGTGGAGCCCTGGACCTCTGGGGTGAGGAGGGTCTGGGGGTGCAGGAAGGCTGGGGCGGAGGGCGCGCGGTGGTACCTGCTTGTCCAGCGCGTCCCGGGCGCCGCCCGGCCCGGCCCCGGCCCGGGGCGGCGCGGGCGCCCGCTCGCAGCTGCAGCCCTCCAGGAGGTACATGCCCGCCGGGCGGCCGCTCTGCTCGCCCTCGAAGTAGAAGAGCACATTCTGGTACAGGGCGAACCACTTCTCGTGCCAGCGGCTCGCCTCGGCCGCCTTCTTGCTCAGGAAGCCGCGCTTGGTGCCCTCCTTGCGGGCCAGGAGGGCCAGGTACAGGGCGTGCCCCTCGTTGTAGCGCACGCTTTTCTGCATGGCGAGGGCGGGGGGCGGGGGGCTCACCGCTGCCTCGCAGCCATCCCCCGGCCGGCTGCCCGCGGGGCCCGCTCGCTGGAGTCCGGGTTGGCAAAGGGCGCCCCCTCTCCAGGCGCTGCGCGCAGGGCACCCGGCCGGCCTCCGGGGCGCGGCGCCGCGCGGGTCCGAGGGGCGCGGGGCTGCTGCCGGCACCTTCTCCGCCGCCGCTGCTGCCGCCCTGCCGGCCGGCCCGGCCCCGGAGCCCCCGACGTCCGCCGGGAGCGCGGCCCCGGAGCGCGCCCGGCCGCCCGCGGCTTCGCCCAAAGTTGCGGGAGCCGCGGCGGATCCGGAGGACTGTCCTCGGGCAACTCGCTCCGGGAGACAGAAGGTAAAGCGTCACGTGGGAGATCAGCTGTAATCGGCTTGGAGACCGATTTAAAGGGCAAAGTCGCGCGGCGGCGGCGGGGACAGCGGCGTGCAGCCCGCTCACCCGCGCGCAGCCCGGGCCGCTGTGTCTGCTCCTGCGCCAACGGGGCGCGATGGGGCTCAGCGGGGCGGGTGGCGGGAGGTGCGGGCGCCTGGCCACAGCGCACACCCGTTCCCACGCGCGCCCGCACACACTCAGACACACATATATACTCACGTACACACAAATGCACACTCCAACACTGCGCAGTCACAACACAAATGCTCACATTGCACAATTATACACACATCGTTCACACACAATACATACACACAAAAACAGACACAAAAATACAGACAATACTTACACAGAAAAGTATGCACTCACATATACACACACCCACAATGTGCACTCCTACACACAAAAACACAAACCCATATACAAATACACCCACGGGCACACACTGACATGCTCACCCAAATGCACATTTACACTCACAAGCCATACACACACTCAGCCTCACACAAGTGCACAACAGACACATGCACACATTTACACTCAACATACTCGTACACAACACAAACTACACACAAAAACACACCCGTACACAAAGCATTTTTACTCACACAGTCATAAACACACACTTATACAGGCAGACACACACTCAAATACACAAACACAATAAACATGAACGCACATACACACGTGAACATACAAACACATTCGCTCAAAAATATGCACACATACTCATACACAAGAACTCACAAACATACAGATACATATTCATGGGGATTCATACACTTTCCCAAACCCACTCACACAGAAAACATGTTCTGCTGCATCCATGCACTCACACTTATCCATGAATGTGTTTCCATGGCAGGGGGTGGAGCCACAGAGAGGCTTTGCATAATGGCAATCTTGACTTTTCCCGGCATACCTGCTCTACTATATACTTAAAACAAGAATGGAGTGCAACCCTCCTGTTCCAGGAAGGTACCAGATGGCTCTGGAAGGGAGAAAAAATAATTTTCCTTTTACCCTTCTCTGTTCTTCTGGCTTGTCTAAAAATTAAATAGACATGAGACAGATTAACAGGAGAAAATAACCAAGTTTATTACACATTTACATATGGGGGTCCCATACAAATGTGAGACTCAGGAACTCTGTCAGTTACGGTTTGTATGCTATTCTGAGCTAAGGAGAAGGGATGAGGGTTGTGGTTTGGAACTTCAAAGGTGAGGAAAACGGTGCACAGGGAGATGAAGCGTTATGTTTAGCAAACAGTGTATGGGCCCATTTTGAAATTATGGGACACAGGAAAGACTTTGATCAAATGGGCCTTGCTGCACGAGTTCATATTAAACTATAATGATCTATGACCAGGATTTCTCAGGATGAAGGTAAAGGAAGCTAGAAGTTCAGCATGGAGTTTTTAACCATAAAAATATACCCAAACAAGGGAGGCTGGCTGCCCCTGGCGGTGACTAGCCCCAGAAGCCATGCTGTCCTACGTTTGCTCACGCTTAACACCCTGGCTAGGACTGGAATTCATTTGATTAACAAATCTTGCAGATACATCCAGGAAATGAAGACCTTCTGCTATAAACTGCAAGTGAAAGGGAAATAATGTGCCCAGCAGCTGAGGTAGGAAGCTTCGGAAAGCCCCAGGGAACAACAGTACTTGGTTCTGCTATATACATTTTTTTCACTCCCCTTAGTCACTTATAAAAATGGTTGGCCATAGAGTGCTTATTGTGAAAAATAATAATAATAAAAAATCCTTTTGTGGGCCATGAATCTGTGACAATGCACATGTCTTGTACCACTAGTTGCATGTTCACAAATTGGTAGCCCAGGGGTTCTGCCTGTTTTGTAAGTGCTGGGTTTGCATGCTATTTTAACTCTGCCTCACTGAGCAGTTGAGTGTTTTATCCATTAAAAAAAAAAAAAAAAAAAAACACTAATAGGCCTTCTACTATTAAAAACAATTTAATAGGGAAATTGCCATTTGAAAGTAGCATGAGAACAGTGATTATCTCCCTTTACACATTTTAAATGTGTGAGTGACAGTGCTGTGCTAATTTGAGTTTCACCCAGCTGGGTCGTTCTTTAAAGGAGACACAAGAGTAGAAACAATAAGTAAATGTGGACGATTCTTGATGCAGAGGAGATGGCAGGTGCCTCAGGAGACCTTTATTTCTCTCTCTGTGGTCATATTCCAGCCCTGAGAACCACAAGCCAGTTGACACCTGCTTAGCTGATGAGCTCCAGTTTTGAGAGGAAACCATTAAGGGTGTGAATTCATACAAAAACAATTTGCAATGAGTGTTCAAACCTTCTAATCACTTGTTTTTTCAGATGTGAAACATTCTTTTCCCCAATAAGCAATATCTATGGTGTGGAAGCTAATCTCAGTGCTGATTCATCCTTTCTGTCTACTCAAATGTCCTTTTGATTTGAACCACAAAAAAATTATGCTTCTCAACTTCTTATCTATCATCACTTCCTACCATGTAAGTGGTTATGGCTGTCATATGACCCCTAACAGTGACAGAAGGTCAATGGTTTCCTTTGCAATTTGGCCAGTAATCACTGTGGGCTTTAATTCTGGAAATTTACTGCAAGAACTGTTTATTAATCACCTGTTATGTCCTCAACACAGTATTTAGGTGATGGGCGACATACAGAAAAGACTGCTCCTGGTGTGCTCCGTCTGTCAGGAATAGGATTTCATGTGTAGGCACTGCTTCTCACCAGACCAGCCGTTCTCCAAGGCCAGGCTGTCTCCCTCACCCCTGCAGCACCCAATAGGAGAATGTGTATGCAGTAGGCACACAAATGATGCATAGCTATTTTCTAAATCAATATCCAGTGAATTGTGGAAGAGAGCGTACAAATTTGCAAATATTAGATCACTCCACACACGATGGTACGAGATGAAAACAATGAGAAATCCTGAACAATCTCCAGAAGCTGTAAAAGGGAATGTCTGATGGGCATCTGGGGGCCTTCAGCCTCCTTTGTTCATATAGAAACTGCATCCCTGGAATGGTGCCACCTTGAAGCACAAAGGGCCCGGAGGTTATGTAAATGAGGATGCTTTCCCCCCAGCTGATCAAACAGGTTGGTAAAAGGGACTCTGTTCCAAGGGGTGGGAACAAGCTCTTCTGTGGAGCATTGTTTTCCCCTCTTGTGGTTCATGGACTCGTTCCCAAGAGGGTCAGTTTAAGTTGATTTTTTTTTTTTTAGGGCAATAAAGCATTTCTCACCAATAACAGCGAAAATCCTCTTTGTCTTATTCTAGGCAAGAGATAAAAATGTTAGCAATTAACTTCCATATCTGGAAACCCTAATTACTACTTGTAGAGGGAGACTGTATCCAGATAATTTAACCAAAAAAAAAAAAAAAAAAAAAAAAAGGAAGGGAGGGAGGAAGAGAGAAAAGGAAGGAAGGAGGTGGTGGAGGGAGAAGAGGGAGGGAAGGAGGGAGGGAGGGGAAATTTTACTTGAATTGTCCAGGCTATTAGGGGTGGGAGGAGCTGATTCCACAAGTGTAGAACCGAATCCACAGTTTTTCAAATCATACCTGAGCAGCTGGCCCAGGAGAGGGCCCTCAGGCAAAATACTATCCAGAGGTTCGGAGGAGAAGGAAGCTGGCTGAAGAGAGTGGCGAAGCAAGGAGACAGGGCAGGGCTTGGAGTGAGGTATCCAGGAAGCTTAGTAAAGAAAGTGTTCCAAGGAAGAGGGAGTGACTTTGTGAAGGTCACACAACAGGGTACATGCTCTTGAATCCATATCATGACCTGCCCAACTTGGCATACGCTGAGGCGATCTGGCTGCTCGGGCAAGGAGCCCCTTTGTCCTGCTGACAAGCACCAAATGCCCCAGCACATTTCCCTGGGACTCCGTGCCTTCACACCGATTCCGCCTCTCCTTGTGCCGTGGGAGCAGATGCAGATGGTGGGGGGACAAGCTGCCTGCTCTTGCATAGACTGAGTTTTGAAAGTTATGAAACCTTAGGAGTAAAAGTGGAAAAGGAGCCAGGGAGACTTTGGAGCGATTTGAAAACGATACCAATTTTATTTCTCCCAGAAGTTGGGAGAGGCGGATGCCCCGTTGGGGTGGAAAGTGGACCTTCTTGAAAACTCCTGGAGCAGGTGCTTCAGTGCAGACATGTAAAGCCAATGCTCTCTCATGGGCCTGGGAGACAACTGGGAAGGGACCTGAATGTAGGCATTCGGTGTCAGGAACTCAGTATTCTCCGGTAATGCCTGTTACTGAGTGCATGTCTCTTTACTTGGATGTGGATGACAACCAAGTGGCCTCTGGACAATCAGCAGTCATCCTGTAACCAGAGGAGAGCCAGCCGGAGGGTGAGGTCGATGCTGCAGAAAACAGAACAGAAAGACATGTTTCAAAAAGGGTGGGTGGGTGGGGAGGGGGTGATGACAAGTTGCACCTTCGGGTGAAGCCAGCACTGAAGTCTGCATTCTCCACTGAGGTTTTTGTCATGTGCATGTAATGAGGTTGGAGTGACACGTGAGGACAAATATTAGTACAGCAAGAGATAAGCAAAAATCAAGTGACGGTGCAGGCAGCCTCAGAGAAAACTGCCTGATTCTCGTGCAGCAGAAAAAGATGCACCATAAGTAGCCCAGGCCTTTATGATGCTTCTCTGTAGAAAACTTCAGGTTGCAGTTTTTTGTGTGCTTGTCTAATCCTTTCCTCAGAGTGTAAGTTTGTCCAGGACCGTGGTCAGCAAACTGCGGCTCACGAGCCACATGCGGCTCTTTGGCCCCTTGAGTGTGGCTCTTCCACAAA